AAATTTCACTTTTTAGGTAAAATAATCTTGTATTATTATAGAACGGACCATTTATCCATCCAGATCCGGATTGATTAACTTTACTCAAGAAATTAACTTCAATAAGAGTAAGTATTTATTTTCCTGTCATAAAAGGTACTTGGCTATTCAGCACTGGCAATACGAGCACGACACTACGAGCACCGCAATCCTGGCACCACAAACTTGAGCCTTATTGCTCAGAGCACAAAGGTCACTCAAGCCTGGCTTACCTCGAGTGCGTTAGTTAAGCGCTTAACATGTGAGGAGTGTCTTTTCAAAAGGGGATACCTACATTCTATCTTATTTTTCACAAAATGGGAAAAACTTATATGGGAAATATTTACAGACCTACCGAAAAGCATTATTTCTGTTATGAAACTATTTCATTACAGTGTTCTAACTACACTTTTTGCCAAAAAATATGACTTGTTANAATAATAATAATGACCAAAATTAAAGACGCTACTAAACAGAATTATATTTTTTTAATTATTAGACATTCAAATCCTGATTTGTCCAATATCAGGTGTCAGACAATCACACAACATAGATTCCGTTTTACGTTAATTTTGCGTTCCGTTCTACAGAGTAAAATGTCTAAAACTAAATCCTAAAGCATAAAGTTAAAGGAAATAAAACACTATGTAAAAGTAAATATCCCGTTTTGAAACGGCTAATTGGTATAGTGTAAATATTTGTATTGTAAATATCCTCTCTTGTTATGAAATGAAAAATAACTATTATTTTTTTAATTTTGTAAGTGTAAATATCCTGTTCTGAAATGAACACTCATATTTGAAGCTGCTTTACTTGGGAGAATATCCCGTTTTGATTAAGATTCAAGTGACGAAAGTGAGTATTCAGCACTAAGAACAAGACTGCATACTCAGTTTAATAAATAATAAAAATGTAAATATCCCCTTTTGAATAGACACTCCTCATGTATTATCTAGGCTCTACAGCGATACTCAAACTTTTTTAAGAGCCAATAAAACCATTTTTACACTGAACCATCTGGACCCAAACTATGCAAAGCTCTAGTCTTGGACTATGGGTGCCATGGGTACCAGACAACTGAAATAAAACGTACCATACATAATTTTTATTTTTGTAAATACATACGCCGTTATTATACGCCAAGCAGCCAAAATTTTTCATTGCTTACCTTTGATTTTGCTATTACCAAATAAATTGTATTATTGTACCTATTACCCGTGACTTGCAAAAAACGACCGACTTAAGCCGTTCCGTAGTGCTGTTGGTCACGCACTTATATCGGTCACTTCGCTACTGCCACAAGGTGGTACAGTGGTGGTATAGCTCAGCAGAACCTACACTTTTTCTACCTTCTTAATAATGTTTTTAACTGACTTTAAAAAGGAGGAGGTCATTTCAGGTCATTTCGGTTGGTATATCTTTTGTGTCTAGTACATGTTTATCTTTGCGTAGGTAAGTAGGTACCTACCTAATGTCCATATGAACCTTTTTTTTAAACTGTTTTCGGGATTGTGCCGTAGATTGAGTATCGCTGCTACTGCGTATCGAGACCAATAAAGATACGTTGATGGCCTTTGGTAGCTACCGATCGCTTCTACGTGCTTACGACTCAAGAGGGACCGCTACGCGCTATTGGATTATATGCGGGCTATGTTACTTACTTTACTATACGTACAGCAACAAAACGTTTAGCCTGCTTTTATTTTATATATTTACTTAAATTGCCGGTGGAAAATTGCGTACATAAATGTGGTTCAAGTATTTTTAGTTCCTTTACTTACGTTTCGTTTCTCAGTCTGGTTTGTTTATATTTACTACTACTATTCTACAACGAACAATCCTGTGCGGCCCAGAGAGCAGAAATAACAGGAGTGGAACTGACAGGCAAACCCCTATAGCAATGTAAGTAGAAAAGTGGTTNGATACCAATAGGTTGGTGCCTCTGGAGCCCCCTCCCGCCCTGCGCACTTGTTGCGCGCACAGAAACCGCTGCCAACCGACATGTTCCCCGAAGTTCAGGAAAATGGAAGAGTCAAGGGAAATTTTACCCTGCACGCGGAAGTTTAGGGGTTAAAACATTAAAAGTTCAATGAAGTTTCGCTTGTGATGAAAAAATTAAGGGAAAACTCCAATTTTATGGCGTGTCCCAAGATTTGGAAGAGTTTTGCGAATTGCAATCACTTTTTTGTAATATCCAATGAACTCTAATAACTTTTTTCATTTCCGTTTCGTTTTCTTTTACTGTCTGCTTAAATGGGGTTTTGGTAAAATCCATTGTAACATCGTGAATGTTTATTCAATGATGTTCAAACACTGTTTAGGTAAAAGAATCTTGTATTACTTATTTTAAAATAATTATTATAGAACGGACCATCTAGCTAATGATCCAGATCCGGACTGATTAACTTCACTCGAGAAATTAACTTCACTCGAGAAATTAACTTCAATAAGAGTAAGTATTTATTTTCCTGTCATAAAAGGTACTTGGCTATTCAGCACTGGCAATACGAGCACGACACATACTAGCACCGCAATCCTGGCACCACAAACTTGAGCCTTATTGCTCATGGCACAAAGGTCACTCAAGCCTGGCTTACCTCGAGTGCGTTAGTTAAGCGCTTAACATGTATTATCTAGGCTCTACAGCGATACTCAAACTTTTTTAAGAGCCAATAAAACCATTTTTACACTGAACCATCTGGACCCACCAAACTATGCAAAGCTCTAGTCTCGGACTATGGGTGCTATGGGTACCAGACAACTGAAATAAACGTACCGTACGAGACTATTCCCACCTCTCGTTCCCACCACTGCAACTCCTGTGTAGCCAGGATCTACAGCTTGACCGCCACAAAAACCCAACCAATGAAGGTCAAGTTACCGTACGTAATTTTCTTTTTTTAAATACAAGTACGCCGTTATTATACGCCAAGCAGCCAAAATTTTTCATTGCTTACCTTGCTTTTGCTATTACCAAATAAATTGTATTATTGTATTACCCCGTGACTTTCAACAAACGACCGACTTAAGCCGTTCCGTAGTGCTGTTGGTCACGCACTAATATCGGTCACTTCGCTATTGCGACAAGGACCTACACTTTTTCTACCTTCAATAATGTTTTTGACCGACTTCAAAAAGGAGGAGGTTCTCATTTCGGTTGGTATATCTTTTGTGTCTAGTAAGTAGGTACATTTTTAACTTTGCGTAGGTAAGTACCTACCAGTCCAGGATCTGTCAATAGGCCGTATAGGCCGCGGCCTAGGGGCGGCAGGGGCGGCAGATTTCAGATGACGCTTACTCGATTTCAGAAGATAAAAGTTAAATAAAGATCCAACCCCACCCTAGCCTACGGGCGGCAAAACTGTAAATCCGCCAATGGTACCTACCTAATGTCCATACAAACATTTTTTTTTGCTTAACGGTTTTCGGAATCGTGCCGTAGATTGAATATCGCTGCTGCTGCGTATCGACACCAATAAAGATACGCTGATGGCCTTTGGTAGCTACCGATCGCTTCTACGTGCTAACGACTCAAGAGGGACCGCTATTGGATTATATGCGGGCTATACTGCCGCTTACTTACTATACGAACAGTACAGCAACAAAAATATTTAGCCTGCTTTTATTTTATCTATTTACATAAATTGCCAATGTAGAAAATAGCGTACATAAATGTGGTTCAAGTATTTTAGTTCCCTTACTTACGTTTCGTTTCTCTGTCTAGTTTGGTTTATATTTACTACTACTATTCTACAACGAACAATCCTGTGCGGCCCTACGGTATGCGGTTAAGTAGTACCTACCTACCGGTAATTGTGGAAATCCTTGGGGAAGGCCTTTGTCCAGCAGTGAACGTCATTTAGCTGAAACGAACGAGCCTATATTATTATTTTTTAAGTTTTGCCTCTAAATTAATTCTCTTTGGCCCAAAGGGTGACTGGGAGCGAATGGCATAATGGCTCTCGCTAGTGGCGCTAATTATATTTATAGTGAGGCAAATGCCCTTCCCTTATTTCACTTGTAACGGGGTGAGTGATTAGTTGCTGACTGGTAGGGTGATAAAGTTGGTTAACCTCAATGATTTTCACAAATATTAATACTTTACTTAATACTACTTTACTTACTATAGCCTGACCAGGAACATNTTATTATTATATTTGAGATCTGAAATGTTGAATCTCCCATAGGATAATAAATTAATTCATATCATTTTTTTAAACGAGCCATAGACTATGAACCATAGAGCAATGATTCTCATCGACAAAAATATCGATAGTGTCTCAGCGCCATCAGCTGTTACACAAATGTCATTACCTCGTCCCCCTCAGGAAATGGCGAAATTTTTTTGTATGGAAATAAACGCGCGCTGCTACTCCTGTTATTTCTGCTCTCTGGTGCGGCCCTACGGTGTGCGGTTAAGTAGTACCTACCTACCGGTAATTGTGGAAATCCTTGGGGAAGGCCTTTGTCCAGCAGTGAACGTCATTTAGCTGAAACGAACGAGCCTATATTATTATTTTTTAAGTTTTGCCTCTAAATTAATGGCCCAAAGGGTGACTGGGAGTTAATCGCATAATGGCTCTCGCTAGTGGCGCTAATTATATTTATAGTGAGGCAAATGCCCTTCCCTTATTTCACTTGTAACGGGGTGAGTGATTAGTTGCTGACTGGTAGGGTGATAAAGTTGGTTAACCTCAATGATTTTCACAAATATTATACTTAATACTACTTTACTTACTAATACTTTACTTTTACAAATATTACAAAACCATTGACCAACTCTAGCTAGTAGTACGCTAGGTACTACTCTATGGTACTACTAGAGTATAGACTAGCGTGTGAAAATCCCTATGTGGACTTACACTGTAAACGTGTAGGACTATGATTATATTCTATCAACCAATAAAAGCGCAGTAAAGATGACTTGCAGGCTTCTCATTGGTTTAAAATAAAACGTCATCAATGTCAAATACTAATGACAGACACGGTCTTTTTAGAACCAAAAAAAATGTGAATGGACGTCAATTTGCTATTTTTATATTTGTAATTTCTTCCTGTGCTATCGCAATAACAGTTATCATAGTTGATAAGACTATTTGACTTTATTTTCTACGTAAGGAAGGTTCGTTCTTACAGTGTGGATCGTAATTTCAGTTGTTTTGTTAACTTGTTTCGCGTTCACTTTGCGCTCATCATCTGTAGTGCTCGAAACAACTAGAAAGGAGCATTATCATGAACAGAATAGTCAGCAAAACTTGGCGTGATTCTGCTTCGTTAATAGTGCTGAATAAGCGGAGTGGGGATTCGTTATCACGGAGCCGCGGCGCGTTGGTTAATTACGAGGTGTTGTTGCAGACTCGGACGAGCAAGGCTTCGTTCCCCAACTCCGTGGTCTTCCCGGGAGGAGTGACTGAGGCCGCGGATGCGAGCGCCGACTGGTTGAGCCTCTTCAGCTCGTTCGGATACACACAGCACGACTTCGATGCTTTGCATCACGCTGGTGGCGCAGTCCGGCCAATTTTCCAACCTGATCCGGTCCGAAGGTACGTCACTATACTAATACTTGTCATGGGTATTTCCATAAACTTTCTATGTACTCAGCACTAACAGTTACACTAATGGCTAATGTACACTGGCTTATCACAACGATCTCAGCCTTATTAAGAAGCAATTGAATGTTAGAATATCTCAGTTGGCATAAAACTAGCAGCAATACTCTCTGAAATACAATATAGCCTCATTAAATTACATGGTAACATTAGCTCGATTTACATGACCATGACCATCTTGGTGTATTATATTTTGCTTAGCATTACATAGCGAGCTGTTGTATTGTATTTAACCATTCTTTTAAGAAAATCTTTAAACTGATTGATAATTAATAAATGTTTGCATATTGAAAAATTTTCACATAAACATCCACTGAAGAGTGTATACCTGCTAAATACATTGGCACTAGCAAATACAATGAATTAAGATAAAAGTAATTTTTGCTGTGTACGTATATTATACACTACTTAATTTATGTTATTTTTCAATTGACAGGCATATTGCGTTAAGAATTACGGCCATCAGAGAGACATTTGAAGAGCTGGGACTACTTTTATGCTGTCGAGAACACAAAAGCAAAAGAAATAATTTGTGGTCAAGTGCTATCGCCGACATTGATATAAAAGACTGGCAAGATCGAGTATGTAATACATTCAACTAGTTCCAGACTATATCAGATATTTTCAATAGAAATATTTCATTTATGTACGTCTTTCAGGTTAGCAAAAATCCAGATGAGCTACTAAACCTGTGTAAAGAATACAATTGCTATCCAGACATCTGGGCCTTACACTATTGGAGCAATTGGCTGTCACCGGTGCACCTCCCCAAAAGATTCAACACAGCATTCTTCGTGGCTGCATTTCAAAGTGAACCTCCAAATATAGAGAGCAACTCTGAAGTTATCAGTGTCCAAGTAATTATTTTTCTATTTTTTTAATAGTTTACTGAAAATTTGAATAAGGGGCCATCCATAAAGTACGTCACACGAATTTCATGATTTTTTGACCCCCCCTCCGTCCTTGTCACAGGTGGTCACATTTCTGAGACACCCCCCTCCCTAGTGTGACGTCACATGTTTTGCAATTTCACATCGAAAAATTATTAAATTAACAGTAGTTCCGAAATTAGTTTTATTATTTCCATTTAAATTAAGTACTTTTTTATGAAATCAACATTTTATCAAATATTTGAAACAATTGAAATGTGATGTCACGAAACTTAGGACCCCTCCCACCCCTTGTCACACCATGTCACACTTTGTCAACCCCCTCCCCCCCTCTTTACGTGTGACGTACTTTATGGATGACCCCTAAGTTCTCTTATAGATTTTTAAACATTATTGCTCATAATCCAATAACATGTTTGATATTTCTTTGCAGTGGTCAAATCCTGTAGATGTTTTAGCTAGGAATAATAATAAAGAATTAGAGCTGTACCCTCCACAAGTCTACGAACTGAATAGACTCATACATTTGACTGACATAGAAGAATTAATAAAATTCGCACAAAAAAGGAGCTGTCATAGTAATGCAGTTATATTCCCCGTCGTAATTAAAGCGTCGGATGGCATACTTCATCTTCTACCAGGTACTAAGTACTATCATATTTAAGTTTTAAGTAAGAAATAGTAGTCAGTTTTAATTAATATTATAACAATTCTCTTTATTTTTCAGGAGATGACCTGTACCCAACAAATGTAGATTACACAAACGGAAACGATAAAACTATTAAAGACAATACAGTATTAGACCTAAGAAACAGTAGTAATATTTTACATAGATTCGAAATCATTCACTCGGAGAGCAGAGGACAGTTCGTCATTCAGAAGTACAAACCTTCGAACCATATCAACATGGGTGACAAAACGATCAGAGTTCAAATGACCATTCATAAAAGTAAGTAGAGACAAGCCTTAACCGTCGGCCTTATTAGGAGTACAAACATAGGAACCGCAACAATAAACAGTACAGGAATCGTAGAGTCTTAGTTCAAAATGGCGAGCTCCGGGCACTCGTGGCCCAACAGCCAGGACGACTACGAGCTACTTGAGGTGATCGGCGTGGGCGCCACCGCCGTCGTGCACGCCGCCTACTGCGCGCCGCGCGCCGAGAAGTGCGCCATCAAGCGCATCAACCTCGAGAAGTGGAACACCTCCATGGACGAGCTGCTCAAGGAGATCCAGGCCATGTCCAGCTGCAGCCACGAGAACGTCGTCACCTACTACACCAGCTTCGTGGTGCGCGAGGAGCTGTGGCTCGTGCTGCGCCTGCTCGAGGGCGGCAGCCTGCTCGACATCATCAAGCACAAGGTGCGCGCCGCCAACTGCAAGCACGGCGTGTTCGACGAGGCCACCATCGCCACCGTGCTCAAGGAGGTGCTGCGCGGCCTCGAGTACTTCCACCAGAACGGACAGATCCACCGCGACATCAAGGCCGGCAACATCCTGCTCGGCGACGACGGCACCGTGCAGATCGCCGACTTCGGCGTGTCCGCCTGGCTCGCCACCGGCCGCGACCTGTCGCGCCAGAAGGTGCGCCACACCTTCGTCGGCACGCCCTGCTGGATGGCGCCCGAGGTCATGGAGCAGAACCACGGCTACGACTTCAAGGCCGACATCTGGTCCTTCGGCATCACCGCCATCGAGATGGCCACCGGCACCGCGCCCTACCACAAGTACCCGCCGATGAAGGTGCTCATGCTCACGCTGCAGAACGACCCGCCCACGCTCGACACCGGCGCCGAGGACAAGGACCAGTACAAGGCGTACGGCAAGACGTTCCGCAAGATGATCTCCGAGTGCCTGCAGAAGGACCCGGCCAAGCGGCCGACCGCGACCGAGCTGCTGAAGCACTCGTTCTTCAAGAAGGCCAAGGACCGCAAGTACCTCGTGCAGACGCTGGTCGCGATCGGGCCGAGCATGGAGACGCGCGTGCACAAGGCGAGCCGGCGGCAGCCCGGCGCGTCGGGCCGCCTGCACCGCATGGAGACGGGCGAGTGGGTGTGGGAGAGCGACGAGGACGACGCCGAGGACGAGGGCTCGCCCGCCGACCGGCCGATGAACACGCTGCCGCGCGCCGCGTCGTCGGACAGCGACGACGAGCCGCGCGCCGCCTTCAGCATCGGGCCCGCGCCCGCGCCGCCGCCGCAGCTGGAGCTGGTGCTGCGCATGCGCAACGCGCGCGGCGAGCTGAACGACATCCGCTTCGAGTTCGCGGCCGGCAAGGACTCGGCGGACGGCATCGCGGCCGAGCTGGTGGGCGCGGGGCTGCTGGAGGCGCGCGACGCGGGCGCGGTGGCGGCGCAGCTGGCGCGGCTGGTGGGCGCGGCGCTGGCGGGCGAGGGCACGCGTTGCGCCACGTTCCCGCTGGGCGCGCCCGCGCCGGCGCCCGACGAGGCCGGCCTGGTGGGCTTCGCGCAGCTCTCCATCGTGGACTGAGCGCAAACCACCAGGGGGGGGGGGTCTAGTTTATGAAATGAGTATAATTATTTTTACGATTTTATCCGTTATCCTATTTTCCGCTCGGTGCGTTGTGTCGGGCCGCGCGTGGCGCTCGAGTGCCATACTTGGGACGTTGACGGGACCGAGTTTACAGTGTTCATTTTACATAAACGTGTATGTCGCTCCGCAGAATGTTCTTTTTACATTGTTACTTGTTTGTTGCTTACTGAAGTTTTTTAAAAATAATTTAATAAAACATGAAATTTATTTTGGTAGATTGTTTTATTAAAATCTCTAGTAATCGTTTTATGAAGTAGAAGCTATTCGTCTTACAGATTACGGTTGTTTATGCTCGAAATCTTAAGTACAAATTAATATGTTTAAACCTATGTTTTGTTCAAATCTGTAGTCTAAAAGCACGAATGAAATGAACGAGTTTGAGATTGACCTCGACCTGCAAATTCAGTTTTTATCTGGATCCAGAATTTGCAGCTCTCATACAAAATAAGTATAGATCACATTTCACAGACTGACGTTTCCAGCGGCAACGCGAATTAGAAAAGCAATAGCGATATAAAAATAAATTTCATTTGGTATGAACTTATGTTGGTCCTCGAGAAAAAGAAACGTTCTATGCTACCAAAACTACAATCAAGCTACTTTTAATATGTGCTTTGAATTTGTAAATTTTAATCTACTTAAATGAATGCCTCTTGAGAAAAAATAGTACAATGTTACCAATGTTCTACAATAGGATACATGACACCAATGTCTACTTAATTACCGACACCTATCTGTATCATATAAATGCAACAAATGCGAATTTGTACTAAATAGTGCTGCTTCAAGACAATAATCACGTTTCGCGCTTCTGTTTATTTTCTACATCTCTATCGACAAACGTTTGGTGTCATGTACCCTTACTATACAATAGTCAGTGGACAGTCATAGTGGAGGTACACTAACAATTTAAAGCACACCCTAAATTACTTTTGTTAGCACAATGCTCTTACTGGTTACATCATATTTATACACTGGCAATTTGTAACACTTACAATATCTGGCATTTTGAGTACATCCTAACTAACAGTACCGTCGAATGTAACATATTTTACTTGTAAAATAAAGTAAGGGCATACTCTAAAACTCAGCACTATGCTATTGCAGGAGTTTTAGCGTATGCCCTAACGCATAGGAAGTTATTAGACTGATGGAAGCAAAAAATAAGTTAACATAATGAAAATAATTTTATATAAAACTATGTCAATGCAAAACTATAACAATATTTGTATAACAGACTAATTTAGAAGGGTTAATTTGGGTCACAGGACAGTGTGTTTTGCCCATCTAGTGTTTATGCAGCCTTTATTACTTTATAGATGTAATTAAGCTAGAAAAATAATATAGAAGATGCACATTTTCTGTAGATATTAAATTATATTATAGCATTGCGTGGACATAGTTTCCAATTAAAAACTAAAGAGAAACAATACGTAAGTCCATTAAAAATGCATTATGTGACTAGGCAGAAACAGTAAGCGTCTTAACATTTGCTTTAAAGATTAAACCTACTTCACACTAATAAGGCAATAACAACGTTCAATTCATTAAACATTTAAAAATAACATAATAGTTTGCTCAAGTAAATATGTATGATATAAGACAAAATATTCCAATTCCTTCAACAGCATAAGAAAGCAGTGACCTATTTAACTTATAACTATTTATATAAAATAATAAATTAAGTTATGTACCTACGTTCAACAATTTATCGAAGTTTACTTTACATGAACAGTGTGATAATATGTGGCTATTTGATTATGTAATAAATAAAGATATATAAGAAATTAAAATTAAAATCTACACGATCTGCACTAACCTCTCTCATTGTTATTGTATTGTTTTGATACCTTTTTCAAATTAGCATGTCCATGTATAGAGGGTTCGCGATAAAACAATGACGAATTCATGATTATGAACATAGAAAAGCGCTGATGCATGAGATTCTATACAGGCGGGTTTTTTTTACAAATTCTTTGGCAACTTCTTGTTTTTTTGTCAAATAGAAAAATTATGGCCTTATTGTTGTAACCAAAAAACTATCTTACGTTATATTTAATGAAGACTATTAGCACTGCATCTTACATCATAAGACATTATTTAAACTAATACAACGTCATTGCTGTTATAACGCGTTCACTTTTGTACTGTAGGAATCATAAAATATTGTAACGCTATACAAACGCTTAAAGAAGCCAATCAAATAGCATTGTTAAACCCATCTTTCTCAACCTGAGGTCATATTTTAACTGTGGTTGAAATATCTTTGCTTTTGTTAAGGTGAAATAAATTTAATATATTAGAACTAAATACTAATTCAAGCATAGCTTCATGTAAATGAGAAAACGACAAATAAAAACTAAACTTAACAATTATGACAATAAATATTTTCTTTTTAATATAAACGCGTTTGTTATACCTACATAATTTGTGCATTTTTATATCACTATACGAAAATAAGACTAGGTAACCCAAAAGATGGTCATGGCACAACACAAAAATAAGGTCACTGAACATTGTGTTCATAACACTATTTATAAAATAAAAACTATCTGGAAGACTAATATAAATGGAATGTAAAAATAAGTACACAAACAAACTCATACTTAAACAAGAGATTCGTGATATCAAATAGAATAGGATAGAAGTTAGGATAGCACATAAATAAATTGTTTTTTAAACAAAATAAAATTATGAAAAGACAGTTTTCCTATTTCTAAATAAAAAATATAACAAGTATTTCTGAAAACTGTTAAAATTATAGCGTTCATAGCTTTAAACGACGCAAGTGTATCAGGTACTTTCTTTAATCTGGAATATTTAACTACATAAGTATTTTAATATATTATTTTAAGTATTAATTCATGCATGTAATGGACAGATTCGGTATTCATAGTTATTTATTTCCAGAAGAATTCAATGTCTAATATTTTAAAGTTGTAAACAAACTACAAAGTAATGCGAAATGGAATTACTCGTGGAAAAAACGTGCGTAAACGAAAAACGTTAAGAGAAGTAAAGTATCACGAAACGTTGTGCGAGTTAAGTCTACAGAAATACCTAAGCTTAGAAGTCAAGTTGTACTATGAAAAAGCGTATTACATCAAAAGTGTGCCCGTGGCGAGAGTAATATGGAGATATGGATAATTTATCGTATCGTCATCACAATCATACCAGAAACAGTTTTCTGTACAAAATTGACACGAGCGAGTGATTATGACAACGTTACAAAATATTACAGCCACGGGCACCGACTTGGGACGATGTGTGGCGACTTTCGACAAGTCTATCGTATTTTGCGAAGGGCTACAAGGAATAGCGGCATTTATAGCAAGACCGTTTTCACCGACTATAGTTCTCCGACACAGATCTGATATTTTTTGTTTTAAAATCTGGTGCCTTTGGTCTCTAGACGGCTATCTGTAACCAACACAATGACACTATCCAACTAGTTACTGTCATTTTCTTCATGTAGGCTTTAAATTATAGTTAAGTAGATTTTTTTCATACAAACTCCTCTGTAACTCGATAACAATAAGTTGAGTTTTTCATTACCTTATCATGAGGATGCCATACTGTACAGAAAACGTGTTTCGGTAACAGTCTTGATAAATCCCGCTACTCCTCGTAGCGCCAGCCCAGCCGGCGTCTTTGCCGGCGACTGTTCGGGTCGAATCAGAACAGTTCCAGAAGTTTCCGCCGCAGGTATTCTTTGAGCGGCGCGTAGTAGTGGCGCCTTAGTGCTCGCAAGTCGGGGCGCCGTTTGAGGTCTCGTAGGGGCGCCCAATCTGTCTCGAAGAGCAGTAGGGCTGCCAGCGCTAGCCACGCCCACACGAAGAGGAATGAAGGTACGAACGCGCGAAGTAAGCTGAAGCCGCGAGGGGCTGCGGCCACGCCGGCTGGCGGGAGCGCGTTTGTAGATACGCGGGACCATTCTTCTCCTATTTGATGACAAGGAATAAGTAATTTATTTTCTGCAAATAAGTTTTTATACGTCCCCAGACGCAGGACCGGTCTTTGTGGAAATCCTTGGGGGAGGCCTTTGTTCAGCAATGGACGTCTTTCGGCTGAAACGAACGAACGAACGTCACCAGTATAAACTTTAATCCTACTGCTGCTTTGGGACAATAAGTGGGCCAGTGCTGAAAAGAAGCAGCGCAAGAAACTCAAACGCTTTTTAAGCATCTCTTTTCAAATGTTTACAACCACATTTGATGCAGTCTAAGAAGAAGTTGTGAGGTAAAGGACGAAGTAGCGCCACTGTAAAATCCTGTCACACGACAGTGGCGCCACTGTAGTCCTGTCTCTCGACGGTAGCGCCAATTGGTGAGCACAGATACGATAACTGTATATTGACCACGGCCGGTGCAACCCGGTCGAAACGTCAGGCAAATACAGGTAATATTTCAATATTGCCTATCGCGTATCGCGTTAAAACCTGTTTAAATGGCAATGCCAGATTTTGTATGGAAGGTGGCGTCTGTTTTTTTTTCGCGCGGCCATCGACCAAGCTTTGTTTTTTGATTACAAAATAGTGTAATAAACCAAACTTACTATGACATGTATACCTCTTAACTCAGTCTGAACTGAGTTACGAGCGTTAGACGTTTGATGATTTACATTACTATATAGATTTGATTTTTGCACGCAAGTTTTATAAGAAATTGCAACAAAATATTGCGCTATTTTTTTATTGCGCTGATTCTCCTCCACACAGATGTCTGGAGCCTTTAATGGATGGTATTGTTTGTTTAAACATACAATGTCACTATTTTGTTGCAATTTCTTACAAAACTTGCGCGCAAAAAGCAAAATCATCAAACTTTTAATGCTCGTAACTCAGTTCAGACTGAGTTTAAAGGTATACATGTCATAGTAAGTTTGGTTTATTACACTATTTTGTATCCAAAAAACATGGTTTGGTCGATGGCCGCGCGAAAAAAAAAGACGCCAATTTCCGGCATTGTCTTTTTAAAATGAATAACTGTAGGGTTGTCTCACCTTGCGCGGCGGGCGCGTTGGATGCGGCCGGCGCGGCGGCGTGGCTGTGCGTGGTGACGCCCGACTCCGACGACGAGTGCTCGAACGAGTCGCGCAGGCTGTAGTCCGCGGCGCACGCTGAAGACAAACGGGTTATTTGGGTAAATACCAGCGTTTTCTTGTGTTGTAATAGATGCTATTTTGCAACAAATGTGTAGACAGATATTACTGAGAATGATTGTAGGTACCTTATGCCTAGACTAGATCATTATAATTTCAACCATAGGTGGTCCACTTTCGAAAATCACCTTCTGGGTGGAGGACCCACGTTGCGCTTACCGGTATGTGGCCTCTATTCCAGAACCTTGCTGACCCATCGGTTAATTTATTACATAGGTGGAGTGCCAATAAGCTTGGGGAGTCTTATTATAGTACCTAATTTGAGACACTAGTGCGTTTTATGTGTGTGTAATACAGGAGTGGAAGAGATTTACGTAATGACACTTCAAACTCTTCCTGTGGTCTTCGGATTAATTTCGTTGCGGGTCCTTTCGCCTGTGACAAACATGGCCTCCACTGGCTGCATTTTTATTGGCGGTCAAGCTGTAGCTTTGCTCCTGGCTACACAGGATTTTTTTTGCATGACAAGGCAAGTATGGTCGCAGCAGGCCTGCGCGATGTCGACGAGAAACTTGGCCCTAGCTAGGTCTTTATAGGGGGTCAAGCTGTAGCTTTGCTCCTGCCTACAGACGAGTTGCAGCGGTAGGAACGAGAGGTGGGAATAGTCCTATGAGTGGCACCACAGATCACAGAAACTAAAGGGAGATGTGACAAGGGGGCGTGGCCGGTGTCGCAGCAATATGCCTAAAAACAGAACACATTGCTCGTGACAGCAATGATGACAGCAGCGACGTCATAATGTAAACAGTACATTGCTTGCGTAGTACTAAAGATCAATCGAACGTTGAGTACTGATACCGCAGTGAATAATGAGCACATATTTTGATTACTTTGTGTGATTTTTTTTAATTTTATTTTTTTTTTTATTTTTTTTATTTTTTCCGCCGTTGCACGCCTCGCCCGAAGCGCCGATGCTGCTCTCCTCAAGTGGAGCANAAGTCGGGCCGCCGCTTGAGGTCTCGTAGGGGCGCCCAATCGGTCTCGAAGAGCAGTAGGGCTGCTAGCGCTAGCCACGCCCACACGAAGAGGAACGAGGGTACGAACGCGCGAAGTAAGCTGAAGCCACGGGGCGCTGCGGCCGCGCCGGCTGGCGGAAGCGCGTTTGTTGAAACTCGGGACCATTCTTCTCCTATTTGATGACAAGGAATAAGTAATTTATTTTCTGCAAATAAGTTTTTATACGTCCCCAGACGCAGGACCGGTCTTTGTGGAAATCCTTGGGGGAGGCCTTTGTCCGACAATGGACGTCTTTCGGCTGAAACGAACGAACGAACGTCTCCAGTATAAACTTTAATCCTACCGCTGCTTTGGGACAATAAGTGGGCCAGTACAGAAAAGAAGCAGCGCAAGAAACTCAAACACTTTTATGAGCATCTTTTTTCAAGGGTTTACAGCCATTTGATGCAATCTAGGAAGTTGTAACATTCTGAACAATTTTATCTTCAACTTTAGTTTACCATTTTTATTTCATTTCATCGGTAAGTTACTTCTAATTGATGATAATGCGGGCTATCTTAACGTATTTGCCCTCACCAGTTGATCGTGTGGAGAGCTGTAACCGCTTCTACAACGGACACGCGTGAACGCAATAACGCATCAACGTGCCCATGACCAATCCGCCAAGAGCGAAACGAATAAGAAGAAGTTGGCGCCACTGTAGCGAACGGTTAGTGGCTAAGACAATGGCGTTAACTAGTGAGCGCTGAAGCCGTAAAAGGACGAAGCCTTGATCACACCTACCGAGTGGACGGGCGAGACAGTAAAATGATACTAGGCCGAGAGAGTTGGGTGAGCGAGTCACCTCGGCGCTCGGCCGAGCCCTCGGCGTAATGTTCATACACACCGAATACTCTGCCGAGAGCACTGTGTCACACGTTTGCTCGGTACGTGTGATCAAGGCATAAAAGTCCTGTCCTTCGACAGTGGCGCCGTCGTGGGCACAACTACGATAACTGCATTCTGGGAGTGGGTAGTCAATGCGAAAAAACGCTCAACGGTTGGAATGTCCAGGTGTCAAAAGTCCATACGGACCGGCTGTCAAAATGTACATTATTACCATGGTTACAATGGTTTAGTGACAAATGGTACACATCATAAAACAAAAGGTGTGATAGATAAAATGATCAACTGATATATTGTGCTCATGATTTAATTAATAAAATTAAATGTCAAAATGTTCAATGTTCTTGTAGTCCAGTCATAAAGAGTTTTTTTTGGATATTTTTACCTTGATGCATTTAAGCACGTGTTCACGTAAGCTATTATACAATAAGACGCTTGTTCGAATAAACCCGAAGACATTTTAACTTCAGATCATTTTAACCATTGCTCATTTAGACGTTCACACTTTTTGCCACACTAACAGCCGGTCCGTATGGACATTTTGACACCTGCACATTCCAACCGCTGAGCGTTTTTTCGCATTGACTACCCACTCCCAGAATGGATAACTGTAGGGTTGTCTCACCTTGTGCGGCGGGCGCGTTGGAAGTGGGCGGCGCGGCGGCGTGGCTGTGCGTGGTGACACCCGACTCCGACGACGAGTGCTCGAACGAGTCGCGCAGGCTGTAGTCCGCGGCGCACGCTGGAGACAAGTGACACGGTCAAATGGGGTCTATTCCACTTTGCTCACCCAGGTGATCAAATCAAATCAAATCAAATATAATTTATTTGCATTAAATAGGGTTTCACAAAGTGGGTGTTATTACATTTTTAAGTTATTGTACTTATGCCTATTTAGCCAAAGTGCAAAGCTAGATCAAAGTGGACTTCAGGCGACAATTTGGTGTCCTTTGATCACCCATAAAATAAAGAAATAATAAATATCCCTGGACATTTTACACTACGCTTCAGTCCTAAACTAAGCAAAGCTTGTACCTACTATGGGTACTAGATAACGGATATAAACATATTTAAATACTTTTTTTTTGTGAATACATACCTACATATTATACATACCTAGTAACACCCAGCCCTATCACAGAAATTAAAATTCATCATTAATTTCAATTTCTGCCTGGCCGGGAATCGAACCCGGGACCTCTCGGAATAGTAGGAATAGTAGTCCGTTCCGAACCACTACACCAAACGGCCGACGACCAAGGCCATGGATAAGATCACCTATGTGATCAAAGTGGACTTCTTATCCTATGGGTGATCAAAGGACACTAAAGTGTCGCTTGGAATATGAATAGACCGAATATGGGACCCTAGCTACATTATTCGTCGTCCTACCATTTCCCGCGCAGCGTCAACAGTCAACACGCTGCGCAGGCGCTAGTGAGACGACGTTCGAAAGACGCTAGCATGGAAGAGGCCTTAGGACAGAAACTGCGTTAGGCGGGCACCCGCGCGGTTTCATACAAAATGCTCCGCGCGGGAGACTTTCGTATGAAACCGCGCGGGCGTCCGCTTAACGCAGTTTCGGGCCTTACACTTGAGTGAGGTTAAGCTAAACCCTGTTGGATTATTATCAGTTTCCATGTTGCCTGGATGGTAGCGGCCTACGTCCAGCGCCTTCCTGCTACCTTTACGATGTCGTCGGTCCACCTTGTGGGTGAACGTCCCACGCTGCGTTTTCCAGTACGCGGCCTCCACTCCAGAACCTTGCTGACCTATCGGCCGTCAGTTCTGCGTACTATGTGCCCTGCCCATTGCCACTTCAGCTTGCTAATCCGTGGGGCTATGTCAGCGACTTTATGATGATGATGAAAAGAGATATCACTCACGCGGCTTGTCGTCGGGCACGCGGTGGTCACAGCAGGCGAGCGCGATGTCGACGAGAAACTTTGCCCTAGCTAGGTCTTTACAGGGGGTCAAGCTGTAGCTTTGCTCCTGGCTAGAGAGGAGTTGCAGCGGTAGGAACGAGAGGTGGGAATAGTCCTATGAGTGGGACCACAGATCACAGAAACTAAAGGGAGATGTGACAAGGGAGCATGGCCGGTGTCGCAGCAATATGCCCAAAAACAGAACACATTGCTCGTGACAGCAATGATGACAGCAGCGACGTCATAATGTAAACAATACATTGCTTGCGTAGTACTAAAGATTATTCGAACGTTGAGTACTGATACCGCAGTGGATAATGAGCACATATTTTGATTACTTTGTTAGTGTTAGGTAAATGGGTATATTAGCCGACACTAGCCCATGTTAACTTGGTCATATAAATGGTATGGTGAAGTCAGAAAATTGCTGTCTTCATTTTAATTATTTTATTTTTTGAAAATTAAAAAAAATGAAATGGTGATATCAAATTTCTGACTTCACCATACCATTTACATGCCCGTGTTAACATGGGCTAGTGTCGGCTAATATACCCATTTACCTAACACCCTGTATATCACTATGTGGGACACTCACGCGGCTTGTCGTCGGGCGCGCGGTGGAGCGAGGCAGGCTTCTGTAGCTTTGTTCCTGGCTACATAGGAGTTGCAGCTATGGGAACGAGAGGTGGGAATAGTCCCAAGATTGGACACTCACGCGGCTTGACGTCGGGCGCGCGGTGGAGCGAGGCAGGCTGCTGTAGCTTTGTTCCTGGCTACATAGGAGTGGCAGCGGTGGAACAAGGTGGGAATAGTCCCATGATTAGACACTTACGAGGCTTGTCGTCGGGCGCGCGGTGGAGCGCGGCAGGCTTCTGTAGCTTTGTTCCTGGCTACATAGGAGTTGCAGCGGTGGAACAAGGTGGGAATAGTCCCATGATTAGACACTTACGAGGCTTGTCGTCGGGCGCGCGGTGGAGCGAGGCAGGCTTCTGTAGCTTTGTTCCTGGCTACACAGGAGTTGCAGCGGTGGAACAAGGTGGGAATAGTCCCATGATTAGACACTCACGCGGCTTGTCGTCGGGCGCGCGGTGGAGCGAGGCAGGCTTCTGTAGCTTTGTTCCTGGCTACATAGGAGTTGCAGCGGTGGAACAAGGTGGGAATAGTCCCATGATTAGACACTTACGAGGCTTGTCGTCGGGCGCGCGGTGGAGCGAGGCAGGCTTCTGTAGCTTTGTTCCTGGCTACATAGGAGTTGCAGCGGTGGAACAAGGTGGGAATAGTCCCATGATTAGACACTCACGCGGCTTGTCGTCGGGCGCGCGGTGGAGCGAGGCAGGCTTCTGTAGCTTTGTTCCTGGCTACATAGGAGTTGCAGCGGTGGAACAAGGTGGGAATAGTCCCATGATTAGACACTCACGCGGCTTGTCGTCGGGCGCGCGGTGGAGCGAGGCAGGCTTCTGTAGCTTTGTTCCTGGCTACATAGGAGTTGCAGCGGTGGAACAAGGTGGGAATAGTCCCATGATTAGACACTTACGAGGCTTGTCGTCGGGCGCGCGGTGGAGCGAGGCAGGCTTCTGTAGCTTTGTTCCTGGCTACACAGGAGTTGCAGCGGTGGAACAAGGTGGGAATAGTCCCATGCTTAGACACTCACGCGGCTTGTCGTCGGGCGCGCGGTGGAGCGAGGCAGGCTTCTGTAGCTTTGTTCCTGGCTACATAGGAGTGGCAGCGGTGGAACAAGGTGGGAATAGTCCCATGATTAGACACTCACGCGGCTTGTCGTCGGGCGCGCGGTGGAGCGAGGCAGGCTGCTGTACATTTGTTCCTGGTTACACAGGAGTTGCAGCGGTGGAACAAGGTGGGAATAGTCCCATGATTGGACACTTACGAGCCTTGTCGTCGGGCGCGCGGTGGTCGCAGCAGGCGAGCGCGATGTCGACGAGAAACTTGGGCCTAGCTAGGTCTTTATAGGGGGTCAAGCTGTAGCTTTGCTCCTGCCTACAGACGAGTTGCAGCGGTAGGAACGAGAGGTGGGAATAGTCCTATGAGTGGCACCACAGATCACAGAAACTAAAGGGCGATGTGACAAGGGGGCGTGGCCGGTGTCGCAGCAATATGCCCAAAAACAGAACACATTGCTCGTGACAGCAATGATGACAGCAGCGACGTCATAATGTAAACAGCACATTGCTTGCGTAGTACTAAAGATTATTCGAACGTTGAGTACTGATGCCGTAGTGGATAATAAGCACATATTTTGATTACTTTGTGTGTGTGAATTTCGAGAGTTGGCATCTCTCTATAGATATCACTATAGCCTTGATCACACGTACCGAGTTAACGGGCGAGACAGTAAAATGTTTACTCGGCCAAGACAGTGATGTAAGCGAGTAGCTGTTCACATGTCTTTTGAAATTATCACAGTCAGTTTATTTCCATTGAGACTTTTCTTTTTCTGTAATCTGTGGACGTGACGTCAATCATTTGGCCGAGTGTGGCGAGTGGCAAGATAGTGCACGTTCAGACCTGCCGAGCGAGCGAGCGAGACAGTGCGGGGAAGCGGGACGGTGGACACTCGGCCTAGTAAGTAGAACGGGATTCGAGCTACTGTCTCGCCGTTTTGCTCGGCCGAGCACTCGGCCGATCACTCGGCGCTATGTTCATACGCACCGAGTACTCGGTACGTGTGATCAATCACTATGTGGGACACTCACGAGGCTTGTCGTCGGGCGCGCGGTGGTCGCAGCAGGCGAGCGCGATGTCGACGGCGGGCCCGCTGAGCAGGCAGCCGCCGTTGCACGCCTCGCCCGAAGCGCCGATGCTGCTCTCCTCAAGTGGAGCACTGTGCGTGGACCGAGGCAGGCTGCTGTAGCCTGCACACACGTAAACTTAGGTCAGAGAGGTTATCTTCATAGAAACGCACGGGCGCGGTTTGTATGTGAGCGCGCCAATACGTATGCGGCGCGCACGCACTCACTGACAAAATTTAGCGTGGATTAGCGGTGGTTGCGCCGAATTTTGTCAGTGTGTGCGTGCGCGCCGCATACGTATATTGGCGCGCTCACATACAAACCGCGCTCGGTGCGTTTCTATGAAGATGACCTACTCATTTGTATTTACTCTGCTTAGGTCTTAGAGCCCTGCCCACACTGGCGGATTACAAGCGTTTTCAAAGCGGCGAAAATGCTAAGAAAACGCTTGCAATCCGCCAGTGTCACAGCTTACGCCGGTATTCACAAACGATGCTTGCTTAANGATACTGTTGCCATTAAAAGAAATTAGTACCATTAGTTTTCCGCAACATGGCGAGGGTTTTTATGTTCCTGGTCAGGCTATAATACTTTACTTTTACAAATATTACAAAACCATTGACCAACTCTAGCCTAGCGTTCTACTCTATGGTACTACTAGAGTATAGACTATAGTTCCAAAATACTGGACTGTCCTGTCGATGACATTGACAGTGGGGCGCCACCGTCAATACCGGATCGCTGGTTCAGATTTTTGCCATGTTGGAAACCATATAGTTGAACGATGGTAGCGCCCCCCTGTCATTGAGTTTGGCGGGACAGTTCAGCGTGGGTCATCTATAGCGTGTGAAAATCCCTATGGACTTACACTCATGAAGCTAAAGATAAAAATGGAGGGCAAAGTTGGAACAAAAACTTGAGTCAAATACCTACTTATATCTATCTCGCTCTCTGCGGCCCTACCTCTCTTTTTAGTGTGAACTGTAGTATTGCTATCTTCTGATTTAAATCTCCTTGTAAATTCTTCGAAATAGCCAATTCACTAACCAAATCAGAAGTTAAACAAATAAATAATTAATATTTGAAACTAAGAATTTTGTGATTTTTTTATTTAACTAGGTAATAGTTAAATAAAAAAATCACAAAATTGTCGGCCATTTAGGCCATTTAGGTAATGTGTTGGCGAATCAGGGAATTACAATCCCAATTCCTGGGTAATCGGTACCATGTGGCAACATCGGCCCAATCCGGTCCATCATGGCGGTTGTTTACTATTTTGTTTATTATGCAGTTGATTTCGTTTGAGATTGTTTACAGGAGANTTGTCGTCGGGAATGTTGTGGAGCGAGGCAGGCTTCTGTAGCTTTGTTCCTGGCTACACAGGAGTTGCAGCGGTGGAACAAGGTGGGAATAGTCCCATGATAGACACTCACGCGGCTTGTCGTCGGGCGCGCGGTGGAGCGAGGCAGGTTTCTGTAGCTTTGTTCCTGGCTACACAGGAGTTGCAGCGGTGGAACAAGGTGGGAATAGTCCCATGATTAGACACTCACGCGGCTTGTCGTCGGGTGCGCGGTGGAGCGAGGCAGGCTTCTGTAGCTTTGTTCCTGGCTACATAGGAGTTGCAGCTATGGGAACGAGAGGTGGGAATAGTCCTATGACACTCACGCGGCTTGTCGTCGGGCGCGCGGTGGTCGCAGCAGGCCAGCGCGATATCGACGAGACTTGGCCCTAGCTGGGCCTTTATTGGGGGTCAAGCTGTAGCTTTGTTCCTGGTTACACAGGAGTTGCAGCGATGGAACAAGGTGGGAATAGTCCCATGATTGGACACTCACGCGGCTTGTCGTCGGGCGCGCATGCTCCATGGGCTAGTGTCGGCTCATATACCCATTTACCTAACACCCTGTATATCAATCACTATGTGCGACACTCACGAGGCTTGTCGTCGGGCGCGCGGTGGTCGCAGCAGGCGAGCGCGATGTCGACGGCGGGCCCGCTGAGCAGGCAGCCGCCGTTGCACGCCTCGCCCGAAGCGCCGATGCTGCTCTCCTCAAGTGGAGCGCTGTGCGTGGACCGAGGCAGGCTGCTGTAGCCTGCACACACGTAAACTTAGGTCAGAGTAAATACATAGAGTAGGTTATCTTCATAGAAACGCACGGGCGCGGTTTGTGTGTGAGCGCGCCAATACGTATGCGGCGCGCACGCACACACTGACAAAATTTAGCGTGGATTAGCGGTGGTTGCGCCGAATTTTGTCAGTGTGTGCGTGCGCGTCTCATACGTACATTGGCGCGCTCACATACAAACCGCGCTCGGTGCGTTTCTATGAAGATGACCTACTCATTTGTGTTTACTCTGCTTAGGTCTTAGAGCCCTGCCCACGCTGGTTACAAGCGTTTTCAAAGCGCCGAAAATGCTTAGAAAACGCTTGCAATCCGCCAGTGTCACAGCTTACGCCCGTATTCACAAACGATGCTTGCTTAAGTGAATCAGCAAATCGAACGCAAACGTTGAATGGAAATCTGTGATTGGTTCGTGTGTCACCCTGTGCGTCCACGCGCACTGGCTGACCTCATAGTATGTTTATGAATACGGGTTTATATCACTCAGGTGATCAAAGTGGACTCCAGGCGACACTTTGGTGTCCTTTGATCACCCTGGATACGACAAAAAAATATTTGATGTGATTTTAAAGCTGTAAAGTTTCGATACTTACCAAAATCACCAGTCATCGGAGTAGATGGCGTGGCAGGTACACTCGAAGCTTTTCTTTTGCCGCCTGTACTTGAACCTTCCTGCTTAACAAAAGAATCCCTCTCAATACTATCCACGAATTCCAATGAGGGCTATCGTTTTAGCGCTCACCAGTTGGCGCCACTGTAGAGTAAGGTCCTGTAACTTGCTAGTAGCTAAGACAGTGGCGCCGGCTGGTGAGCGCTAAAGTGGTAGGAGGACTATCGCATTTGCACTCATCAAGATGGCGCCACTGTAGAGTAAGGTCCTGTCAATCGCCAGGGGTGCCAACTGTTAAGTATAAAAACGATAGCCCTCATTAGGTACTACCGTGAAAATTCTAGGTTTCAAGCCACTCTAAGCCTTATTATAAGCAGAGATAAGGTCGACAATCACCTGAGAGTCCCTCGGTGCCAGGAGACCGTCGCGTTCCAATATCTCTCGCTCGGTGCGGCCCACATACTTGAACTTGGTGCCCCACGAGAATAACCCTCCGCCAGAGTAAACGCACGCGTCCGATGATGAAGGCAATCTGCAGAAACAATTTGCATTTTAAGCATTTTACAGTATTAATAAAATAACCCACAGCCTCTCACACATCGTTAACACGTTCGACGCCATGTTCTCATAAATTTGCAAACCCAAATTTTAAAACTTACGTATGTAGTAACTTGACTTAGTAAGTAGGCAAATAAAACAATTTTTTTGATGTTATTAATTTCTTTTCAACTAAAAGCTGTATTTTTTCAAATAAATAAACTTAGACAGACAGAAGTTTAAAAAAATTAGTAATCTGTGCTTACGTGAAAAACAGCATTTGTTCAATGGCACAACACCACACATGCCGACACGATGCACCGCTTGGACATTTGAAGCCGACTGTATGTTTTTTCTGTAAAAAAATATAACATATTTTATGTAATCTTTCTTGTGTAAATCATAGTGATAAAAACAGGCATAAGTTTAAAAACATTGAAAAAAGTCTTACTTCTGGATAATTCAAATGGACTATGAACATGCGGCCTTCGAAGTTGATCTTGTGGACCTCATTCCACTTGAAGTGGTGCGTCTTCTTGCTGCCCTGGAAGGTTAGAATCCCGCTGTGGTTGATGCCCAAGTACAACTGGTTGCCTCTGTGGTCCTGTGAAAAAAAGCATAAGGCATTCACTAACTACTAAAACCACCGATAAATAGCCAAGAAAAAAGAATTTGCCTCTATTAAGAGCCACTGAACGCACCTGGCGAATCCATATTTAAAAAATGCTATAATGCGGACACGTTTTCTTGCACTGAAGTTTAAAAAAAATTGTGATGGCATTGAATGTGTTAACTGTTTTTTGTGGAAGATAATAAAATCAGAACTACTTTTAAAACTAATACAATAGGTGTAGTGCCTAAGTAAATTGTTATTCCGAAAAGACGAAGTCACGAAAAGACGATATACACAGGGTGTGTTCTAACTAAAGCAACTCTTTGATACCAGATAAATCCAAAAACATTCTAAAAACGGAACACTATGTTAGGGCTATATTAATCCATTTTAATTAGTGATGCAACAAATACTACTTTTACGAATATGAATATTAAATCTACTATTCGGCGAATACGAATACGAATATCTAGACTCTACACACTCACTGCGGGCGCGCGTCGCACAGTCGCGACAGCAATATAATTATGCGCGAGCGATAAGGATGGGTAGCTTGGGGTCATTGGACGGGATTCTACGTGCTCACGGACCAGGCTTTAGTCATGAAATACTCATAAATTTAACTCTTTTTATTATGATTATCGTTTTAGTAATTAAAATTTACAAATGGCATTTTTTTTTATTGTATCACTACTTTGTAACTAAACACAAAAGAAAAAAAAATCTTGTACAATCGACCTGCTATTGACTGTCAAATTCCGGAAGAGAACTTACTTACTACTTTGTTACATACTGACCGGGGTTTTCCCGTCGTGTCGCTGTGAGTGTTCGGAGACACTTACGTGTGGGACAAAATTTAAAAAAATAGATATTCGTATTCGTAATTATTATTTCACCGAATACCAATATTCTGAAAATGTCTACTATGCGGCGAATACGAATATTCGTATTCGTTGCATCACTCATTTTAATACAGGTTGTTAATAATCATATGCATACCTTCACAGGGTGTGGATCAACACCATAGGTGTCTAACTGGCAGGCTATCTTTAGGAAGGTCCTCTCAGCTTCTTGCGTGGACATGCCTTTGACGCCGCCACCGCCGCCGGGCGTCCCTTCAACTGGCTCTCTATGCAACTCCTGGAATCAGGGTATATTGAGTTAAGTGAATGAGTCAAATAATAAATAAATTATTTATTTCTCTCACAATCAGTAACATACTTAGGAAGTAACATTTCGAGAACCACGAAATAACTACCACGAAACAAGCACAAATCAAGGACACAAGGAGACGGCATCATACATACACAATTACAACACAAATACTTGCTGCTGGAGCTGTGGAAAACAAGGACACTCGATGAAAGATTGCAGAAGTAAGAAAATACTATTTTGTAACGGTTGTGGCAAGATCGGCAAAATGAGTAAACAGTGTTGTAAGAAAACAAGTGAGTACACACAGGCCATGACAATGAACACAAGTCCGCAAATTAAAGATAACCGTCCCTTCGTAGATGTATCGATACTGGGCGAAAAATATCAAGCACTCGTAGACACCGGCGCCACAAGATCATACATCAACGACCAAGTATACAAGAAATTCACGAAAAGAAACTTGAAACCGAAAACAGTAAGCATAACAGCTAGCATGACAGATGGGCATACAACTCGAATAAAAGAAGAACTAGACTTGCAAATAAATATAAAGGGAAAAACAATCGACCACCAAGTGTTATATCATCCACAAATCACGACTATACTAATCGGCATGGACATATTAAATAGAATAGGAGCNGCTGTACCTCTAGTAGGAAAAACTTTCGAGTTCGTTTCGTTGCGTATTCAAAGTGTCATCGAAAAATTTTGTATGAAAAATTAAACAGCGCCCCCTAGGGCGGCTATAATATAGCCCTAGGGGGCGCTGTTTAATTTTTCATACAAAATTTTTCGATGACACTTTGAATACGCAACGAAACGAACTCGAAAGTTTTTCCTACTAGAGGTACAGGTGCCTATTGTAGATTTTAAGAAAATCTGTATACAGGCCCACTCCACGGAATCTATTTGATTAAATAATTATACATTTCAATAATTGGTGGATTCCTAAAAGTACAGAGAGTTGGATTCTAATTAAATAGATATGCTAAACAAAAAATTAAAAATACAGTAGCACTTTTTTCAATTTCTGAATAAGGCATCAAAAAGAAAGCCTCTAAATGCCATTATTATGCCACTCATAACTTGTGATCTTATGCCTAATGAGGTATTTACATTAAAAAAATAACACTGACCTGTATTCTAGCCTCAATAGCATCAGTCTGTCTCAGAAGCAACCTCATTTCAGTCACATAGTTTCCAACATGTATGCTTGGATCATAATCTCCCAGCTCAACTGCAAAAATTTAAAGGTAATATTTAAAAAAAACTAGAAATCATTAATTAAAAATTTTAGCCCCCTTATTACAGGTTTAACCTCAAGATGAACACTGGTTTAAAATGACATTTCCATACCATATTACAGGGTTTACAAAATTTAGTACCCAATTGAAATTAAAAATTGGTTCACATACTAAAGTAAATATAGTAGGAGTAATGCATATTGACTGATTTATTTATTTAACAAATAGACTTGTTAATCTCAATTCTAACAAATAGACAATAATTCCGCCCGCGGCTTCGCCCGCGTGGAATTTTGTCTGTCACAGAAAAACTTCATCGCGCGCGTCCCTGTTTCAAAAACCGGGATAAAAACTATCCTATGTTCTTTCCCGGGACTCCAACTATCTCTATGCCAAATTTCATCAAAATCGGTTGCGAGGTTTAAGCGGGAAAGCGTAACAGACAGACAGACAGACAGAGTTACTTTCGCATTTATAATATTAGTTGGGATTATTTGAGAGAAAGAATTTGCACTTCATTACATCCATTTGCGACGGACGACAGTGTGACATCTTCAATTAGATTAACATAGAAGATGTCACATTGTCGTCGCAAATGGATGATTAATAAATCAATGAATGTGCAAACTGTGATGATCATGTCCTCAATCTAACTTACTCTGTATTATAAGTGCCCCTAACATTGCAGCTTCATTGGACGTACAATAGAGCCTGCCGTGTAGCAGGTCTCTCTTCAGCTGTAAATAGATCTGGAACCTGGTCACGTCTTCTTTCAGGAGTAACGGATTTGGGGGATAGAATTTTACTCTAAAACTAAATAGTATTGGAGACGCATCTGCAAACAAAATGTATTATTTTTTATATTGTTTCGAAATTGCTTGATGTAGCAACTTTGGTTGGATCACACATGTACTTGCCTTTTACTTGCTTCAGTATCAACTTTGCCATATGCAGCCAATGCTAAAATATTAAAAAAAGCATAAGATTTTTTATAAAACCAAGTCATGAATAATTTCTAATATGAATACAATTAGATTTGAATATGTTTACATATGATTATAGTGAATGTAAAAATACAGTCTTACCCGCTGTCCCCCCGCATCCACATATCGCAAACCAAAGTAATCGGTCTCTGTGAGATTCAGTTGCTGGCACACATACTCCAGTAGGTATTTCCCCTTGTAGCTTGGCTGAAAACACAATACGGATAACAAACCTGTGTTAAAGTTGGGAATCTACCAATTAACCACATTCACTCACGTGAAATTCGCATTCTAATATCTCGGTATCCTCTAAAAGCCGTACTGTGCATTTATAAACAATGTCCCCACGGCTTTTAAACATCTTGAATCCTTATATTGACGTATTTTACCAAGCGTTAGTTAACAATATCACTAGTTAATAGCATTGTTTTTTTATAAATGTAACTCCATTTCAATTAGTTCATTTATTACTGTTTTCATTTGTTTTTTATTTCGATTTCCGAAATGAATGTGGGATGATGATGACAGGGGTGCGGTGTGGTGGGGGGAGAATGTCGTACATTGACAGATTCGTAATTCGTTCAACAATATTGTTTTATCTCATTGTATTTATCCCAGCCGATGTAAAAATATTTACTACTTTTATTTCGTACCTTGTCAAAATAGATCAATAATATTATAATAGATCATTACCAAAATGAATTCCATGTAAAACTAAAAATGTTTAAAAATACATTTACCACCTAAATAAACTTTGATGGTTTCTGAACGTTTGGGAATTACATGTGACGTTACTTCCGGCAAAGTATTGCCGAGTGTTGCCTTGTTAGTAAACCTCCCTTTACCTTGGCATGCATATCACTCTCTCATTTCCCCACAAGTATTCAAAAAATCAATATTAAAATAAATATTGATTACAAGGGTGATGGACATTGCAATAATCTTTTATTTAATTGAATTTTAATATTTATTTATCACATTTCAAGAAATTGTAATTTTGACTTTACAAAATAGATCTTGCTTCATTTTGGAACAATTGAATTTCTGTCAACTAACCAAACAAAAACTATTAAAACAGCGCTAGATCCTTTATAAAGAATGTCTAAATCGCACTAAAGTTACGTGTACAGATGCAGAGCAGTACGGTTCAACATAGCGAGTGTTATTTAATGCCACAATTTCAAAATGTGAAGATAATAATATATCGATGGTATTTGTATGTAAATAATTCAAAACAAAACTCTTTTTTTCTCTTGATAGGAATAGATTTTAGTGCGCTTCGGTTTACATTAGTATGTAGGCCAGTAGAATTAAACACAAAAATGAATTAAATCGGAAATAATTCCTACTAAAGATTTTAGTGCTTTAATGGCTTCATTAGTTGCCCATAAAAACTCTCCTAGGTTTTCGACTTCGACGGAGTTGTGCTTAAGTGGTGGGGGCCCCCGAAAGGGGCGCTTTTTAAGTTTTCCGGTTAAAACCTAGGAGAGTCTTAATGGGCAACCAATGAAGCCATTAAAGCAATAAAATCTTTTGTAGGAATTATTTCCGATTTAAAATCTAATTTTACTGGCCTAATGGGCCTGAATGCCTGATAAACAAAATACACTATGGGTTGATCCTTTGCTTGCCACCGCGGCCACGCCCCGAAATCGAACCAACTAAAATCTGTTCATAATTACACACTGTAATGTAATGAAATGAAAACTAGAAAATCTCAAATTATTTCAATCATTTACCTACGGAATATTGTATTTTATGGTGGGGGATTTTCGAAAAAAAATCGGAAATACATAATTTTGAATGCAGTTCTCTTTCTTTTCAAAGATAAGGAAATATTTTCTTTGAGTAAAACGTTCTATTTACAGTATTATGAGTACTTTCCTTCCAGGTGGCATTACAAAATTCCACCCTGTATATTAATTATGCATGTAACTTTTTATTAATAAAGAGGTTGCCTACTTCATTCAATATACAGTGCGACATAAAAGAGTAGAAATTTAATTGGGGCACCACTGTCGTTCACATAGCAACCCTGATAGCGCGACTAGATTGGTCTTGATGCTTTATTTTTTTTAGTATAATATTATTTTATGAATATTATTTTATTTCAGTAGTTGTGGGTAGGATAGCATTAAAACAGCCATTTTACTCATAACTTATCTTTATCAAGCTTTTAACGCGGTCTTCTTTAAAATATCACAACATAACATCTATCTATATATATAAAAATGAAACCCGTTTCGCGTTGTCACGGCATCACGTGTGAACGGCTGAACCGATTTCGATAATTCTTTTTTTTTAAATGTTTGTGGAAGTCCAAGGATGGTTCTTACGGAAAAAAATATTAAGAAAATCTCTACGCTAAGGCGGTACGAAGTTCGCCGGGTCAGCTAGTAAAAGATATAAAATATTAAATCTTTACTAAAATGCATAAAAAAAGTCAGCACCCACATTCGTGTCATTCAGTATTTTCAGAACTTTGCTTCTCACTGTACTTTCAGACACACATAGAACAACAAAAATAAAATTAACTGGAATAAAATAAGCCAACTTTTTGTTTACAACTTAAACAAAAGTGGGTCTGAGTTATAATAAATAAGTCACTTTACAAAGTTTTAAAAAATTTACTATAGGTATATACCACTACATTAATTAACAAAAAAAAAATATTTGAATAATAATATTTTTTAGATTTGGACGCTGTTAAATTTTTCTTAAATTTTAAAGGTTATGTTACTTATTAAGCATCATAACCTCTAAAATTTAAGAAATGTTCAAAGATTATTTATTGTTTCTTGTAAATTAGATGATTGCGCATATCTATGTATCATTATAACATCTTCCATTAATAACTCACCAGTTTAATCTGCTACTGACAACGCCTTTCTTGCGGCGGAGTTTTGGGCTGACGCTGTGTAGGTTTTTTGTCGACACGACAAGAAGAAGTTTAATCTGCTGTACTTTGGTACATAAATCCTCCAGATTAATTATCAAAGATTCCGGCCTGAAGTTTTGCCAAACATCACAAGATAACCTTATAATATCGTATCACGAGAACCGCGGTGGACTTAATCATGATGATATTGTTTAACAACCCAGGAATAAGTAAGAACTAAGTATTTGTGAAAACTCTTTTGGCAAATGTGAAGTTTAATTGGTAATTCTATGTGTGTTATAGAATGCTGTTTGTTTTCCTAACAATAAAATAAAATAATATAATTATTGGAGATTGGTAAACAATTTCATTCCATAAAACATTGTTTACCAATCTCTTCACACACACACACACACAAACAGTATAATCAGTGTTTGTTACTAGGAAATAAGTTATATCAGCAGTAGGTATACTTAATAGTACCTATATTAAATCATCAAGAAACCAAATTAAATTATCATTAAACAATACTATGATAATATAAGAACATATGAAACCAGTTAATTAACCTACTACTGAGCGCCACGGTCTTCTATAGAAGACAACTCGTTTCAGTGCCCTCAGTCCACACCCACGTATTTTATAGAAGACAATAATATCTAATCATATTTTTTCAGTAATTTCTTTGTTTTATGCGTATTTTTACAATTGCCAACAACCCTAAACTTACATTTATATTTTAATATGACCTTTATTTATTGAACCCCTCACTAATAAAAAGTTACACAGTTGTTGAACACTGTTTTAAAGTGACATTTCCATACTAAACGTCACTTTATGACACTGTTCAACGAGCGTGTAATTATAACATTAGGCTAACTTAATGCCATAAGGCATTTGTTTGTTTTTATAACAGAACTGCCTGAAACAGTTGTTTTGATATTATGTGTTGGCGCTCAAAAGGATAATTTAAAGAATAATACAGTAGCGCCACCTAGGGTAATAATATTTTTGTGCCGATGCATAAAACTTAATAACAGTTAATATTATTGGTTTTTTAAAGTTCAGTTCCGATATTAAGAAATACCAATCAATTACAATCTAGACATAATCTCATTTGTGTTACTATCCAACACAATATTTCACATTTGCTACACATGTTGCACAATATATTGCAATTCTAGGGAGTTTGTCCATATAAAGCAGCCACACTGCCGACCGGAAGTGACTCTCCTTGTTCCAGCTGAAACCATTTCTCGTCCATTCTGTTGGAGTCTTTCTCGGATATTACACGCTGATTGTATTCCGTGGTGAGTGTCAGAAGAAGTACTGTGAAGTGAAAAGTGATTTCTAGATCTCAAAAGTTTTATACTATAGTGTTAGTATTTAATTCACTGCCATTCATTTTTGTTTACCAAAATCCAATGAAATCTAATAAGACTAGAGTGGTGTAATTTTAAACCTTTTCAATAAGTCCGATCTGTGTTAGCAACGTGTACGAAATTATCTTTCAATCTAGTATTCCTTTGTTTCTTTTACATTTACGAAAGTGCTTTTCAATAGTTCTTAATTCAAAAACATCGTGATGTGCTTACGCGTCACATTTGTGCACGAACCGGCTCGTCACTACCACGTGGTTGATGCGATCTTGTTTGCCATATTTTAGTGTTATGTCCCAAGTTTTTCAGTTCATTTGTCTTTAGTATTAGCTGTTAATTACTAGTAAATACGTTTTTTCTAATATTTTTAAAGTTTTTGCCGTAATGGCTGACATCCATTGTGAAATGTCAAGATAGGGCGAGGCGGCCATGCGGCGGCCATATTGCCGGTCCCGCGACACATGAGGCTTCGACCTTGCGGATGCCGGTGTACATCGTTATCCCGTACGCGTGTTTGACCAAAACAAATCAAGTAATCTTATTTGTTTTCAATTGTTGCAGACTAACCAAAAATGGGCAAGGAAAAGACTCACATTAACATTGTCGTCATTGGACACGTCGACTCCGGCAAGTCCACCACCACCGGTCACTTGATCTACAAATGCGGTGGTATCGACAAACGTACCATCGAGAAGTTCGAGAAGGAGGCCCAGGAAATGGGCAAGGGTTCCTTCAAATATGCCTGGGTATTGGACAAACTGAAGGCCGAGCGTGAGCGTGGTATCACCATCGATATCGCCCTGTGGAAGTTCGAGACCAGCAAATTCTACGTCACCATCATCGACGCCCCTGGACACAGAGATTTCATCAAGAACATGATCACAGGAACCTCCCAGGCCGACTGCGCCGTCCTCATCGTCGCCGCTGGTACCGGTGAGTTCGAGGCCGGTATCTCCAAGAACGGACAGACCCGCGAGCACGCCCTGCTCGCCTTCACTCTGGGAGTGAAGCAGCTGATTGTGGGCGTCAACAAAATGGACTCCACTGAGCCCCCATACAGCGAATCCCGTTTCGAGGAAATCAAGAAGGAAGTGTCTTCCTACATCAAGAAGATCGGTTACAACCCAGCTGCCGTCGCTTTCGTACCCATTTCTGGCTGGCACGGAGACAACATGTTGGAGGCGTCTACCAAGATGCCTTGGTTCAAGGGATGGCAAATCGAGCGCAAGGAGGGTAAGGCTGAAGGCAAGTGCCTCATCGAGGCCTTGGACGCCATCCTGCCC